AAAGGCATATACATTGATGCGCATACACAAGTAAAGACTATGCAAATGCGAGGAGACAATTATATTCCCACCACCCACGTACACACGTACACATAAACACACATCAGCAGGATGCGCCGTCTTCCATTTCAGTTTCTGAACGCCACAGACACAAAGACACTCTAATCCTTACATAATCCCCTTCTGCTACCAAACACCAAACTCTGGTCATATCAACTCTGTCTCCCACACACACAAACTCCACTATTTCAAAACTACTTTAAAATTTTTGCTTTTTATTGGCACGAACCCATTCAAAACTGTGTGCGTGAACTCACGATGCATTCAAACTAACATTATATTCTTATTCAAGTGCCTTAAGTTTGGACTTGTAAAACTGTGGCATTAAAAACAACTTCTTTATCTGTTCAAAGTTTGTATTTCCCAGCGTGCCAACAGAAACTGCTAAAACATGATAAAATGCCATGCAATGATTGCTTTCCAAACTTCTTCAGGAAGCTCATGTCTGAGTTCAGTAGTGATAGAAACACCAACAGAGACATCTAGTGGTGATCTTTGAGCCCTACAGGAGACAGTCACAAACTTCAAACGGGTCAGTATCTGCAAATATACCTTTTCATTGTCTCTGGATGGTTATATTTTCAGGTTGGCTTGCAAATACAGGTAGATAAATAAAAATGGATGAAGAGAAAAACTGATGTCCCATTTCTAGGCTGATAACTACAACTTCTCCATTGTGAGGATTTTCAACTTTTCTCTGTTTTCTATATTCCCAAACTAAATGTCTTTGAGATTATTGTTTGGACAAAATATGTGATGGACAATTAATAAAATCAATTGACAGAAAAATCAATAAGAAAAACAAATTACAGTGAAATCAAGGAAGTTTCAGACAAAATATCAGTCTAACTTTTTGGTGGCAAAGGCATAAAAGGGACTACGAATAATATCTTTATCTCCAGTATTTGTATAATTTATGAGTGTATTCATTTAAATTTCAACATGTGCCTAATCAGACTTACCTAGTTTGTATGTGAGGACATACAGGACTGTCCAAGGTGTGCCAGGCACTGCCAGCAGCTTCCTCCACACCCTCCATGGCCTCATAGCATCGGCTCCCTGCCCTCCCCTCCTGCTGCCATCTGCCTGCTGGCCCTTTACAGTCTCATCATCCAGCACAGGGGCCCCCCACACAAATAGAGCAACGCCTGCATACACAAACGTCAGCAGCATAAACATCCAGCTCCATCCAGCCACGTCAATCACAGCCAAGAGGCCACCTCCAGCAAACACTGACCCGGCTTTGTAGCCCACGACTTGGGCCGTGTTGCCAAGCCCCAGCTCCCCACGTCCTTTCAACAGCCCCACCGCGGCCCCGTCTACAGCAATATCCTGCACAGAAGCCAGGGTGTTCATGGCCAACAGGGTCCCGGCTACTCCCCAGATGTGTGCCTCTGGGGCCAGGGCAGCACTGGAGAGGCATGTCAGAGCCAGACCAGACACCGTCCCCACCAGCCAGCGGCGCTTGGTACCGATGCGGTCCACCAAAGGGGCCCAGAGTACTTTGAGCACCCAGGGGAAGTAGAGTATCTTGGTGAAACCGATGCGGGTGAGGGAGTGACCAGCTCCACGCAGGTAGACAGGGAGCAGGGAAGACTGGAGACCATAGGGGATGCCCTGAACAAAGTACAGCAGGCCTAAGAAAACTAGTTTGTCATTCATGATCTATCTCCAAAAGTAGCCCTCTGGTTGAGCTGACACTGCAGTGGTCCATTGGTCAGGTCACTGTCATTATTTAGATCAAAAGGGGAGAACTTCAATTGACCCAGATGAGCTGATGGACCTAAAATAAAAGACAAGAGTGAGAAATTCAGGGTTATTTCTGATGAACTTAGAATCTTGTTGTGTAAGATACTGGGTGACTAAATACTTCCACAGCTCAAACCTGCAGCCTTAAAAGGGTGCATCCTTCTGCAGTTTTACTGCCTCTTTGCCCAGCTCAGTTACCAGCAACGTGCTAACGAAGGCCCCCTCAAATTCAAAGGACTTGTGCTCATAAACATGTTCAACATTATTGCTACCACGTGTGTTTTAATCATTTGCTCTCTATCAAAACACAAGCATGACTTTGCATCGTTGACATTTCGCGACAGGTTTAACAGTTAAGTTTGTTGCCAAACTGACTGCTACATACCGTTAGCCGGCTAGCAGGCTGTCATGCTAAACGTAGTTAACGAACAGCTTTAAAACACATGTACACCACATGTCAGTATTAGATTTGTGGTTTAGTTGCAGTTTGAAAGTAATACAGAATAGTTGCGTATCTGGTATGAGAGAAATATTAACACATACGGGGAAGAAAGTTGGTTAGCCTAGCATTAGCTCACCGGTCAGGGTGCTCCGCTTGTTTATAGTTGTGGTCCGGATGAGCTATGAGGTTGCCAGGTTCTTCAGCAGCAATCCCCCTTCTGCGGATGGCAACCTGAGAGTGGATCGTGAGTATTAACCTTTAGAGATCTAATAAGCCAACGGCCGGCTTTCTGTTTAGAGTATTTTACTATTGGTTATTATTATTGTTATTAGCATTATTATTACTATCATCGTTGTTACAGTACAGAAAAAGGTTTTATCACCTAACCTGGCAGCACGAGCTCTGCTAATCACACTAAAATATTCAAGGATTCAAGGATTCAAGGCCTTTATTGGTCACAAACACAGTTGTACATGGTATAACGCGCAGTGAAATGCTTTGTGAACCTGTTCCACACCGAAGCAATATTAAAAAGATGAATAAGAATACAGATTAAAACACATAAGAAATACACACACACACAGAGAAAAAGAGAGAGAGAAGGGGATAAAAATAATCAAAAAATAAATACATGCAATTTTCAAACTGCAAAAGGAGATAGAATAAATAGAGAAATTAATAATACCATATACATGTATATATACAAGGTGGAAAGTGGCTAGTTGGATTGTTTACTGAGTCTATTGTTTCAGGTTAAGCAGGCTGACAGCCTGAGGGAAGAAGCCCCTCTTCATCCTCTCGGTGTTTGCCTTCAGGCAGCGGTAACGCCACCCTGACGGCAGCAGAGAGAACAGTCTGTGGCTGGGGTCGTTGGGCTCACGTGCAATCTTCCTGGCCTTTATAAAATTAATAGTTTAAATATAGTCTACAACAGCTGTATTCACACTTTTTGCATGTGACCCACTGATCATTCCCTTAAGTATTACATCTCTTATTTCTATATGTATATATGCATTGGATCTTATATCTCTAGATTATGTATTTATACAGCTGAAACCAGAAGTTTACATGCACTGTATAAAAAGACATACAATTTTTTCCTCACTGTATGACATTAAATCAGACAAAACTTTTCCTGTTTTCAGTCAGTTAGGATTACCAAAATTGTTTATATTTGCTAAATGCCAGAATAATGACAGAGATTTTTTTTTAAATTACTTTCTTCCAAGTCAGAAGTTTACATACACAAAGATTGCTATACCTTCAAACTATTTGGGAAAGCCCAGATGATGATGTCATCACTTTGGAAGATTTTGATGGGTTAATAGACACCATTTGACTTAATCGGAGGCACACCTGTGGATGTATTTTAAGGCACACCTCAAACACACTGCTTCCTTTTGTGACAACATGTGAAAATCTAAAGAAATCAGCCAAGATATCTGGAAGAGAATTGTGGACCTCCACAAGTCTGGTTCATCCTTGGGTACAATTTCCAGATGCCTAAAGGTTCCCTGTTTTGATGTTCAGTTTTGGTGCAAAAGTGTGGATCAACCCCAGCACAAAAGCAAAAGACCTTGTGAAGATGCTGCTGAAGCTGGTAAGAGAGTATCATTATCCACAGTGAAACCAGTCCTGTACTGACATGGGCTGAAAGGCTACTCAGAGAGGAAGAAGACATTATTCCAAAAGCAACATAAAAAAGCCAGAATGCAATAATAAAAATTGATCAGATTTATATAGCGCTTTTCTAACTCAGAGTCACTTTACATTGTCAGTTTTTCATTCACACACATTCATTCCAGTGATGGTAGCTACGTTTGTAGCCACATCTGCCCTGGGGCAGACTGACAGAGGTGTGGCTGCCATTCTGCGCCTATGGACCCTCTGACCACCACCTCAAACAATCCATTCATATGCATTCACACCAGGCAAGGTGGGTGAAGTGTCTTGCCCAAGGACGCAACGACCATGAATACGAATACAACACACAAATAGTTTGCAAATGCACATAGGGACAAAGACCTTCATGTTTGGAGACATGTCCTGTGGTTTGATGAAACTAAAATTGAACTGTTTGGTCATAATGACCATCGTTACATTTGGAGGAAAAAGGGGGAAGCTTGCAAGCCTGAGAACACCATCCCAACTGTGAAGTATGGGGGTGGCAGCATCATGTTGTGGGGGTGTTTTGCTGCAGGAGGAGAGTGATGCACAAAATAGATGGCATCATGAGGAAAGAAAATTATGTGGAAATATTGAAGCAACATCTCAAGACATCAGCCAGGAGGTTATATCTTGGGCACAAATGAGTCTTCCAAATGGATAATGACCCTAGGTATACCACCAAATTAGGTACAAAGTGACTTCAGGACAACAAAGTAAATGTTTTGGAGAAGCCATCACAAAGCCCTGATCTCAATCTTGTAAAAACAAACCTGACTCAGTTACATCAGTTCTGTCAGGAGGAATGGGCCAGAACTCTATCAAACTATTGTGAGAAGCTTGTGGAAGGAAACCCAGAACATTTGACCCAAGTCATACAGTTTAAAGGCAATGCTACCAAATACTAAGGAAATGTATGTAAACTTCTGACTTTAAAGAAAGTAATGAACAATTCTCTACAAAATGTTCTCTCTTATTATTCTGGCATTTAGCAAATATAAATAATTTTGGTAATGCTGATTTGGTTGTGTGTGTGTCTGGTATGTGCTGTGTGTGCATGTCCAAAGAACCAAGAGCACTCAGCTGGGCCTTCATAGAAAAAGCTTTTATTTGCATAACGTCCAAGCTCCTTCAAGGGTAATGCTTCCACTAAATAATTGGCACATGATCTGTATACATCTGTTAGCAGCTGCACTGTGATCACTGACTTCAGCTTCTCTTTGAGCATCAGATAGAGAATCTAGTAAGTGCAAAGCTAAGTCTGTCTGGAGCACAGGCCCACTGGCATAAAGCTGTGAGATGTATGCTGAAACACTGGAATAAAAGGATTTACTTGGAAAGAAAATATCTGCTGAAGCAGTGCCAACTCCACGTAATCTTTGCTCACTGCTGTTGATATCTACTAAATGTCACGACAGTCAAAGAAAGACTGTCTCGTCAGTTCTCCACAAGCGCATAAGGCACAATACATGTCAAGAGATAACAGGTGATTTTCCACAGCTGGACATCATGGTAGATCTTCGGGTCTTTGAGATTTGAGTCTGGTGATAGGCTCTTAGTTTTCAGGCCCACAGAGAGCAAGCAGAATCTTCTCATAGTCTCCTTTGGTGTCATCCTGAAACACAAAAAGTCAGTAAAACATGAAACTCTATTCCATTACCTTTGTTTTTATGTGCATAGCATACCAAAACATGACTAAACCTCTGAGATGGGTTTATTGTTAATATCATCAGATGTTTGCTCACCAGAATCTCCTGGTAGAGTGTTTTGCCGTAGTTCTTCTTGTACTCATCCTTGATCCGTTTCATGTCAATTTCAGAGCGGCTCACCATGATGCGAGTCAGGATATTTTTACGGGTGCCTTTACCCTGATGGGCAAATAAAAGAGTCAGTCAGGAAAGGATTTAGTCAGCAAGCACAGCATCCTGCACGTTTTTTTCCCCCATCATATGTATATAGTTTGTAAGTAATAGCTGACTAATATTTTACCTTCATGGCCAAGTAGAGCCTCTCTGCAAAGAAAGCAGCCCTGCTTCCAGCACACTTCACTGTGGTTATTGAAAGAAAAATGGTTCAAGTTTAAATCTCATCTGTGTATAAGTTACTGGTTTAATGCTTAAGCCATAAAGATAAAGTAGAGGTTTGTGCCTTTACCTACTGCTGTGAGTAAACTTTCAATATCTCCCTTCATCTCCAGGTCAATAGCTTTGGCCACATCCACTTTGCTGTACTTTGAGTACCTCTCAAATACTGAAGGAGAAGAAGCAGAGGACAGCTGTTAGATCTGACATAGACAAAGAATGAAACATAGATTTCACACAGCAGGGCGGTGGGTTAGCTCACCTTTACGAAGATGAGGGCCACTCCTGGTGGTTAGGATGTCAATGAAGACAGAGCAGTCTTTGCCCTTCCTCCCCTCTCCGGCCTCGTACAGAGCCCTGGCATCACTGTCAATCAGCTGCTCACAAACTCCTTCAGTCCTGCCGGCCTGCGATACACAAACAATGCATGCTCACTGTGTTGAACCCAACCAAACTGGGCTTCCATACTGTAAGTGACACATTTTTCTACATGTTTTATGCATGCAAGCTGAAAAGAGAATGGGAAATATGCTAAGAGTTGCCTGATAAATAATGAACTATCCCATAGATGTAGAAATGTTGGAATATAATATGAATGTACCCAGCGGATATTCTGCAGTTACATGTTGGTCATCATTTTATTGAAATGCAGCTTCTGATTTGATCTAAAATGTAACAGATGTTCGTAATACTGAGCTGGCCCTTGTAAGATGTCCATGGGAGTGCACACATATGTGTGTATCAAGGGAGTGAGATTGTTTATTTTTTTATAAGTCACTGTCAGCTTTGTACTGTCACTGCCACAGGGAGTGTTATGTTGCCTCAGAACTTACAGGTGTCCTGGTGCTGAGACTGAATAATTGATTGCTGTAAATGTGCCTTCAAAATTCTGCCACAAAGTACTGAATGAAACACACAATACGCCACAGAACGCAGGTAGGGACACATCTGTACCTTGCAGAGTGCGATGAGGGCAGTCTTGAAGTCTCCACTGGTGTCAGACCTGATGTCGTCCTCCAGCTCCTTCTTGTAGTCTTGGCAAAGAAATCATAAAGAGCGCAAAATTAATGCTCACAATTTGAAAAGAATGCTCTAAGCAAGTCTTATATTTGTACCCCATTTCCATACGCTGTCACATGAGATGCCACTAATTCCAAATACAAGCTTGTGAAAACTGAAGATCGTTGCCAAAATGCTCACCGTCCTTGTAGGCCTTCTTTATGTCCATGATCTGTCTGTTGTTTCGGGAAGCTAGAATCTCTATCAGGGTGTCCTCATCTGTTCCCAGACCCTGAGACATGAATAAATAGAGTGATGCAAAGAAAGAAACCTTGCATTCTTCACAAACCCAGTTCAAATTAAACACACATATTTTCGCCTCCCATTAAGAAAACAATAAAAGAATATGTGGAAGTGGGCGGATATTATTATGCACCAAAAATAACAAATGATGGGGAGGCCACAGCATTCACCACAGATGTGCTCCAGAATCACCAGCTTAAACAAGCAGAGTTTATACATTTATTATCAGTTTTAGTGAGACGTGCAGGTGTGTGTGTACCTTCATGGCCTGTTTCAGCATCCAGGCATCGTACTGGGCTGGTGTTTTCAGCAGACCCAACACTACATCCTCCAGATCTCCCTTCAGAGCATTTTTCATTGCTGTCTCCAGAGGCTGCAAGGGAACAGCATATGCATAAGTGAATGTAGCATTCAGAGCATGCTATCATGGAACTGTCTTTGGCACTAAATCTAAAGTGCATGTATCTTGCTGTGAAGTGCAACTCTCATTACCTTGCCACTGGCCTGCTGGTAAGCCTCTTTGATCTGCTGTCTCTGCTCGTTGCTCCTTTTGACCAGCATTTCAATAATGGTGTTCTCATCCACACCTGCAGGAGTGATTAAAGAGAATAATGATTTGATCAATCTGTATCTGTAACAGTGCAGACAGCCAGTATGCAGTAATAATGCAGAATGACCAGCAGAGGGTGCTACGATTCTTAACACAAGCACTTCATGCTTCATAGCAGACACATTGCAACACCAAAGCATGTTCACACATGCTCCCAAGCTTCCCTGTGTGCATTTTAGGTTTACCTTTGGTCTTGATGGCCTTTTCCAAGACTGCTGCATCTCCACTGGGGCTGAAATTGGGTGCTGCGGTCACTGTTCCCTCGTTCTTCAAGGCCTGAGAGACATCACAGATTATTGTGTGTTTGGTAAATACTTGACTTCTTCTCAGAGTGTGTATAAGGTGGGTTGCAAAAGTGCATTTTACAAATGCTTTGGATGCTAAAACTGGAAGAACTTTCTTTCAGTTGGCCTCCATCTATCCTCTGGCTTAAGAAATACTAAAGACATATAAAAAGACACTTTTTACACCCTCCTTGGTCCCTCCCCTGGCAGTCTCCGCCTCTGCACCGCTATGCCTTCAAAGCTCATGTCAGTGCCCTTTAAGATGCTTGTACACGCCTCTGTTGGACTGAACTACACAGTTAGCAGGAGAGTGGAAGAACACGGACTGAAATCATGCAGGATAACCTTATGCAACTTTCCCCTCGCTCACTTTAAGAAACCAGGGAAAGAAGAAGTACCATTTTGTTCTGTTTGCAGAGTTCTTAAGGGGAGGAGTGCAAATTCCTGATTCTGAGTCATACGCTCACAAGGCTTATGGTCATTCTCATCACATATAATCTTTATCTTCCAGAGTCCCTTTCACTTCAATCACATCACTCATCTTATCTTTGTGCTCTGTCTCACTCCTCTTTCCTCCCCCACCTTTCAACTCGTTATTTTTCCTCATTATCATCTACACTTGTGTCGGTAGTCTAAACACTGCCGATCATTTTTTCCACCCCAGCATACCACAGGAAGAGAAAAAAAAGAAAAAAAGAAAAACAAGAGTGGTTGGCCTTAGCAACTGAAACAGAACCACAGAGTTACATACTGAGTCATCAGGCATGCCCAGATAGATGGTTTGCTGCATGAAAGCGTCGATGAAAGCCATGGTGGACTGCTGGGGTCTGTCTGTAGGAAGAGAAGAGAAGAGAAGAGTGTTAGGACTGATGTGATCCATCTAAAGTAGCATTTGTGAAACATCTTTACCTTTAAAAACATAATAAAATCTACTGAACAAACTGAAGATGATATTCAAGAGCTGATGTCACTCGTTCATTGATTCTGCTTGAGTAAAGTTCTTATCTATGAAACATGTTAGCAGAAGAAAGAAAGAACGTATTTGCTTTTCCTTCCTCGAGATATAACTGTGCATATTTACTAGAGATTTGTAGTAGGTGCTTTTCCATTATGGCAAGTATGTGTAGGCTGTGTGGCCACACCCACAGTCAGGTCTGATACAGGCATACATGAACTGTCGGATAAATGACAAATCGCGTCTGTTTTCATGCTGTTTACTACTTTAACAGAATAAAGATCCGGTGCGTAATCAACCAACACCACAGTTTACTTTAGTCAAACGGATGAATTCCAAACTTGTCCACGCTACTTTACCCAACCACACCCACATAGGTTGCATCAATATCTTGAGCAAGAGGAGATTTAAAGCCTCTTCACATCTACTCTCAAACTAAGAGCGTTGAGAACACAGCAGAGATCTGTAAGAGAGGACCTACTTACCGTGCGGCTCTAGAGGAGAAAAGTTTGTCTCACAAAGTTTCCAGGGGCGTCGTAGTGGCAGAAAGAGTTTATTTATACGTCAACACAAACCCCACCTAGTAACGGGTCCAGCCCATCTTCCCTCCTCCACAGCTGCCATTGGATTGAACCTTCTCCAGCGGTGCGCAACGGAACTCCGTCCAGAGCTCAGCCCCTGCTCAGTGCGTAAAAACCAGGAACAGTTTGTCCAGCAGATTTAAAACAGCCACGCTGCTTAGGCTACTTGAAAACATATGCTGATCAAATGCCAGGTCGTAATCCTTCATAAAAATCGGGATTTCATGGAAAATCACTAATATACACCTACAGCTGGGACTTAAGGAGCGGTGGGCTCATAGTGTGCAGTTTGATGACTCGCTATACTGTACTTTCATACTTCTTACTTCTTGTGTGTGCTTTTATTCATAATTTCTGATGTATTTATTTATGATACTGTTTTATTTGCTAGATAAGTTTAAATTATTTAAATTCAAATGCTACAAATGCATGTTCACTTTGAGTTTGGTGGCCTACTGCAACGAACTTCTCTTGTGGGCTCCATATGGACATATGTGCATGTTTTTCTCATGTGTACCCAAAGTCCCCCAGCTGGAACATGGATTGTCCCCAGCTGAAAGAATATTTGCTGTTGCTGCTGTTTCATTTGCTAGAAGACAGAATGAAGTATATTACTCTTTTGACCTTCCTGCTGTTATCTGTCCTCAGGAAAAAAATGTTACCAGGAGGTTATGTTATACAGAATTTAATCTGATGGATTCACTACTACTGCTGCTGCTGTGTATATATATATATCTGTAAAATTCCCATCTGTGGGGCCAACTGAGCAGAGTTCTTTAAATTCCTCCAGAGACTGATGCGATGAAGTAATATGTTGCTTTAAGGTGTGGCACACAGTCATGACAGCGCAGCCGGGGCCTGACACTACCTGCAGGCTACGTGCCTCATCTTTGGGCAAGTGCTTTCACACAGCTGAGATTAACAGCCAAGGTGATGACACATTTGATAAGTGACGGCATTGTTTTAACAAAGTCAGACTTTGTCATTGCACCAACCAGTCAAAACTTCACAGGTCATACGCTGTAGATGAGGTGTGTTAATGTCTTTCTGTGCTAAAAGGCTTTCTTTCCTCATGGTGCCTGGTGCTGATGTGTTTAATGACATTTTGCCATATTTGACAGCGTGACACTTTATACATCCACGATGGAATGTGGTGAGAGCAGGCTTTGGATTGTGAAAAAAGAAATAGCAGGCAAAGCTGTATTTTCATTAAAGTGGCATCATGGGTGGATTTACCTCTAAGTAAGGTGTGTTAAACAGATGCTCAAGCTGTGGTCCAAATGTTCCAAATGAGTGTCTTGGTCTACAAAAGAAAGGAAATCCTCTTCAAGGGGCTTCGCCAAGAACAACAGGGCAAGAGAGCGCAATAATCAGGAGCAGTAGAAGCAGTAGTGACCATGACATTGATTTTTTTTTTCTCCATATTTACACCTTTAGTAGGAATTTGGACACAGTAGAGAAGCTAATGTACGCTTTCAGTGAGCTATATGTGATGTGATGTTCTCTTCAAAACAACAAACCTGCATAAAAATCCTTTCTTGATACTCCTCAGTGTCTGAATGCAGGTGACTTATTTCAATTTGACCCTAACAACTCAGAAAAGTGAGGGGTCTCCAGGAAAACAAACAGAAACAAGAGAGAAGTTAGTGTGTGCATGAACTACATACGTGTGTCTATGAGTGTGACTGAAAAAGCGTCCAGTTACAATCTCTATCTTACACACGAGAAACCTGAGGACTGTTTGGGGCATCTTTTTACCAACAGGCTGTGGGGAGTTTAAGCCAGTACCTGGTGAAACTCCATCTCTGCAGGTTTAATATTTAAAGACTTTTGAGAGTTTGGTTCCCCCAAGAGATCAGGATCAACTCATCCTCCTGGTCAGCATAGCAGCACTCAAACTGCACTGAATCGCAGGGATCTGATCTACACGGAAACCAGGTATTCATTATAATCAGATTTTTTTTTTTATTCTATTCTCCAGTTCTATGATCCTTTCTTCTCTTTAGAAAGTTAAAATCATTTTCTCGTTTTCTCATGTCTATATTTTGTTCAGTGTGATAGTAAAAGAGTGAAAGTTTCAGGTGGCATTTCAGTAAATTCAAACCTAGTCATAAAAGAATTGGCACTGTGCTTATTTCTGCCAAGTGAAATGGAAAATTTGTTCTCATACATCTCCATGAAATGAGGGAAACTGGAGGAAAAAAGGACTCAAAGTTTAGGATTTTCAGTTGTTCCTGTTGAAAAGCTTGCAGCTTATAGAAGCTTGGAGAGGCTGACGAAAGGATTACACTCCCTGAGCGAATCAGCTGTGTGAGCTTTTTGACATCTGCAAACAATTTGAGGGTTGAGCAAGGGTTCATAATGCAGATTTGAATATATGAGGATTTTCTATTGCAAATTAATTAAAAATGTTCATCTTTTTTGGGCTTTAAAATGATTTTAACTCTATTTTCTCTGCAGATTTCGGACTGATCCAGGTGCATATGCGAGCTTACAAAAACACAAGAACAGCAGTGGACGGCCAACACACAGCAATATACACAATGTATGTGAACTCTGGAGCTGACAATGGAGCTTACTCACTGACGTTCCTGGGGAAGAAAGTGGGGAGACATCACTCTGTGGCCCCTGTAGGCAAGCAACGTAAGTGTTAAACTAGCAAGCAAGCACGCATTAATCGTGGCTTATATTCATCTGCATAGTGACAATGGCACCCTTGTGTTTTTAGGCTGTATCTGCTGTCAAATCATATGCTGTAGACGGGGCAACTCTGAGATAAACGTGTTGCAGGCAGACAGGTGAAGCTAGACGAGGTTTAAATATTTTAGCTGCTTGGCTGCCTCCATTGTGAAGCAGTGAAGTACTCAGTGTATCAGAACAAACATACCACATTGTTCCTGGCAGGGTCCGCTTGGAGAGCTGGACATGAAGGCCCACAAGAACCAGACGAAGGCATACGCAAACTCACAAACTAACAGGCATAAGCACATTTAAATGCTAGTCGAAGTAGCTGGTAGTCACTTCATCTGTAGCAGAAGCAGATACAGATGTGCTTTGCATGGTTTTGCAATTTGTCATCTGTGCATTTGTATTCACATGGCCTCTGTGCAGAGGTCTTTGGACTCTACAAGAGCAGACTGGCTTCCATTAGGAGGTTTTCTTTACCTGAAAGCCATCTGTTCTGCTGCACCTTCTTTTTAGCATTTTGTTTTTGTTCAACCAGTCATCTCTGTCTGCAGTTATCCATATCCTGTTTTATCTAGTACATGTATTCGTTTTTTCTATTAATTTGTAATCCACACAGACATATCATACCTTGTCTTTCATTTCAGTATCTGTATATTTTGCATTTAAAGATTTGCTTTTTTACATCATGCACATGACTGAATGTTTTTTCTTCCCACAGTTGCCTGGGAGACAACAGTCCAGTCTACTTGCCCTGAGGACCCTGTGGTGTCCTTGCGGGCTGGTCAGGTCCCAGTGGCAGCGCAGGTGCTGGAAGATTTACCAGGCAGCATACCGGAGCTGAAGGATGAGAGACCATGTCCAATAATTCACAACACACAGTTCGACCCGTACCAGGACAATGCAGCAGGTCAGACCAGTAGACTCTTTCAGATTAGCTCTATTTTGAGTTCTCTGCCTTTGCATTCACCTTCTGCTTGCTTTTCAAGCAGCAGATTGCCTGCATGGTTTTTTTGTTTGTTTTACTGACTTTCTCTGTAATTCCTGACATAATTTCTGTTTCTCTACTGAAAGGTGTTTCTGGAAGGAAAGTAACAGCATGACGACACGCCCACATTCCTGTACGAGGAAACAAGGGGAGAGGGTGGGCTGTAAGAGACAGAGAATGATGAAATACTCAGAAGAGGCCTTTTTATGGGATGGGTCAATATTTCAGACAGGACTGGGCATCATGGTGCATGACGCTGAAAATGAAAATAAACAGGGACTAACTACTTAGTAAAGTAGAAAACTTTGCAGAAATTATATACATTTTAAGTGTAATATTCAGAAATGTAAATAGACATTAACCTGCATGTCAATTACTCATGATCATCAAAAAAATGTAAACATGTTTTAAAACTTCTAAATAAAAAATAAATGGTTTTAATGACATTTACGTGTTTTCTTTACCTTAAGACTGCATCCATGGACGTGCAATTAAATGATCATAAATGTATCATAAACAAATATACTGGACAAATCAGTGTGTTTGAGTTGTTATGTGAGTTTGCATGGTTGGTTTGATCAGTAAAAATCCAAACTAAATCAGAGCTTAAGTGCAATTCCACGCCAGAGCAAGCGGAGCTATTCATAAGCTCCAGTGTCTAATGAAACTATTTGACAAGTTCCATCTGTAGAGTATTATGAATATGTAATTACATTTTTGCAGTTGTCTTTTGTTAAATGACTTATAGGCTGCTGGAATGCTTTAGTTTCACTAGTGAAGCTTTTTTTAACCTCTGAAATGCAGACAGTACAAAAAAATTTAAACCAAAACATTTCTGCCCAGAAGTTAGTTTGTAAACCTGATAATTATATTGATAATTAACAATTTTATTATTATTATTATTGATGAAGTTGTTGTGAAATGTTAAAATGTACTGTCACATATCACAGTTATTACTCTGTAATATAACCAGGCACTTGGAGAATCTGTGGCTTCTTCTTTCTCTTTTCTATCTCCGCACTCCTTAAGTTGATTCCAACTGTCCACAAACATTTGTTTTATTCTTCAAGCTGTCGTTCATCACAAAACTTTGTGGATGAAGAGATGGGCTGCATTCAGACGATGGATTGCCGACCGAACAAAACCCAACGGACAAGATATCAACCAAGGTGCTGTGAAAACATGAAGAAATGTATTCAGTATGTACAGTAAGTGGTAGTAAAGAACTAATACAACAA